TGAAAGTATAATTCAGCATTATGGTAGATGGTCATCTCGAGCATACCAAGGCTATATTTGGTTCTAATAAAATACCCACAAATAATTAACTTAATCTAGTTAATATTTACTAGCTTGGCTTCTATTAATTACGTTGTTGTAGCATTTTTTCTGCTGTCCGATCTATATGTTACAGATGTGGCCTGGGTATTTGGCCACAGCTACATGGCCAGAGCGAGGGGAAGCTTGGAGCAACATTTGCAACGTCTTGGCACTACACGATGGCAAGTCCATGGTGGGAGGCGATGGCGCCACTTCTGATCTTCCCTTAACAATCTCTTGGCTTCTGCGGGTAACACCACTCACAAATGGCTCGTGATCCATTTAGGTTCAAACGACATGTGCCAAATGTCCGCCAGGTGCGATGACATCTTATACGATTTGCTGTATGCCAAGCTACGTCTGCCGGACACCAGGTTGGTGTGGTCGTTCATGTTGCCACGTGTTGTGTGGCCAGCGGCTGTGAACATTAAAAAGCTTGAACTTTCTCGCAAAAAGCTCAATCGCAGACTTGCTAACAGAATTGAAGAGCTATATGGGATCAACGTCCGCCACGATCAGATTGATCCAGTCAAATGTAGCTCGGAACATTACTTGGCTGACGGGGTGCACCTGTCACTCAGTGCAATGGACTCTTTCGTGCACAGTATTATCAAGGCTTTAACTGCTAACTAAATCAGATAATGCTAAAATAACAGCAATAAGTGAGCACACGCGTTCCATAATTTTTCCGCTAATTTTGGGTTGTTTCTGCTGTTCGTGTATCCAGTTTTTTAATACCTATATCGTGCCGTGTGGATTGCCGGCGATTTGTATCGCGGTGGCCTGTTTGGGGTGAGAAGCTCTCAATTGCTATGCTGCTGGTTGTCCACTTTCACAGCGGAAACCCCATAATCATAATTCCAGCCTGCTTCACAGTAGGTGGAATTCATTCGCTCGCTATGCTCACCTTTTCTGCTTGGTCACAGCGGAGAGGTGATTGTGTAATATGCTCTCTTGCTGCTTATCAGTAAATGAATATTTCTGTTGGCCTCTTGTTATTTCTTGAGTAAAAGTGCACTGTTTTCTTCACACCAAGTAAATTTAAACCATTTCTCAACTGCCACGTCTTGATTTTTAGGCAGAGATTGATCATTGAGAGGCAGGTTGTCGGTTGCCTTTGAGGTTTCATCACGTTCATTGTAGCTGAGAGTACAACACAAAAGGAAGTGACATGAATTATCTCTATCAAGAACCTCAAAATGGCTCACAGAAGCGTATCCTAAATTCGTGGATAACCTTGATTCGTGGATTGCGGAAATTATCATGCTTGCTCGAAAATTAAGTCTCGACTGACGTCACGAAGCGGTACTTTTGATGTACACACAATGCCACGCCTCGCTGACTAAAAAGTTCCGAATCTCTGCATTACACGCAAGTACACTAAATATAATTGTCCAGCATTAGGATAAATAGCCCCAAATCACTAATACCACCGTTACCAGATTTTCTTTTTACAAAATGTCAAGTAAAAAAGATACCGTTAGCTCCAACATTCTCACTTCTCGTTGTCTGCTTTCCTTGGTGTCAATACTTACTGCAGTGGGATGTCGTACATAGTGGTATAAAGTAACCGACTACGTAATCCACGAAACAAGGTGATGTCACATTTTGTGGCCACACGACTAGGTGATGATTGCAATTGGCTTCCTTAAACAAACGTTTCATTCACGAGAGGAATATTAGACATTTTCAATTTGCTGAATCAATGAATAAAATAATCAAGGAGTATACAAAATGAAAGCATGCATTTAAAATATGAATTTCGCCGCACTTCCCTGATATCCCTGAATCAAGGTTACGCAAGTGTATAAGTGGGAAAAGATCAGTTGATGCTAGCATATAGTCCACAATACTTGATCCATTATGTTTGACACATGTGAAGTTGCCATCTTTATCACCAGATAGGCGACCATTGAGGGTGTGAATACCAAATATTGAGCATAGTTCACTCAGCACATTTTCTTCCATAATTGTTATATCTATCATTATCTCTGGTACATCTTGGTACGTCAAAGTTATCACTAGGATAGTCATCACTGTTTTCTTGTATGTAATCGAGAGAAAGTTACGCATTCTAGCATTCAAGTCTCCGGATAAAAGATAGTGATGATCATTATGTGAGCTCACAATTGTTTCAAGATATGTAACTAAGCGATCCATACCATCGTAGTCCAATGACTGGAAGACAGGCGAGTTTTCAGGTGAAATGTAGGTGAAGATTAGAATGGTATTTTTTACACACTGTCCCAGCTGCCATATGCTTTAACATGCAAGGGGTACAGTTCAGCATCCCTTTTTTCGCTTCATTAACACAGTGAGTGAGTGAGTGTCAGTTTTTAATATTCCAGTTATATGGTATCTGTTAATAATCGAGTTTGGACCAGACATTCAGCTTCATTAACACAATCAACAACGATTACAGTGAATTGGTAGGTCCAAGTGTGGATAAAGATTGACAACCCCTCGATGCCACGGTGTGGCTGGTGGATTTCTTCTCACTGTCCCAGCTACAAACCCCTCCAGAATGCAAGGCGATACATTTTAACATCTCTCATTAAGTAACATACGTTATATCTGGGATTACACTTTCTTAGTAAAGCACAAATTCTAGTACTTTTGTTGGGTTGAGTCCCATCCGGGATTCGAACCCACACTCTCAGAGTCAGGCACCTAATCGCCAGCACGCAAAGTCAGACGCCTAATCAGCTCAATCACAGCGATTTCCATAATGGCATTGTGTATTCATCTGTCTTTACATTTTTGTCACTCCACTGAATGAATTTGTCAGAAATGAGAAGAGGTTACAATCTGACATGAGGTTCATTATATTTTTTTTGTTGTTGTTTGAAGTCACATTTGGCAATATTCAGGCTATATGTTAGCAGTCCGTTAAAATCGCGTCTTGACCAGACAATCCAGTGTCTGAAATGAGCATCAATTAACGCAATGGGATACAATGGCATGTGTCAACAAATCAGCCAGTCTGACCACATTGTCTCTTGCAATATGCATAGGTTACTAAAAATCTATTCTAACTAAAGGGTAGTGTGTGAGATACCTAGACACTGGTGAAACGCTGGGTCTCCTGAAACTATTGATCACACAACATCTATAATATTTGTTTGAGCTCATTAAGTCAGGAAACCCAAACTGTTGAAGAGACTTGAGAATGATCTCAGTATATACACACTATGATAAGGATTGTGATGACTTCATCTGCACTGACAATTGTTGAGCCAGAACAAGAGATCCAAACTGATGTGGCCCTCAAATAGTGTGAAGAGAAAACCGTCTCCAACTTTTAAAAGCATCCTCCCATGGAAGAAAGTAATGTGCAGTTGCACACTGAGTGCCATGTCTGAAGCCAGTTCTCTCATCTCATGTGGGTTGGAGGCCACTGGTGGAAGTACTCCTGCAGAGGTGTAGGCTCAAGAACCTGAACAATTGCTACAGTCTGTTTGGGTCAAAATGATACTGTTAAATCACAATTTAACTCCAAATCGGTTCATGATCACACATTTATTTCAAAGTAGAATGTAATGAAAACATCAGACAAACTCTGGAAAAAACTTTCAGAATGTTTGTCTCAAAAATGAAAAAGTTATTTAACAAACTATCATCATTTTGGCTATCATCCTTTTGTTTTGATTTTCCGTGTGAAGTTTTACGAGGGTAAAGTAACAGTAGCACTTTTGTAGGAACAGCCTCAAGGGCGGGAAGTACGTGCACCTTAAGATGTCAACATTTAGGGGTTGTATCAAAACTCTTCCAGACCGGAATCTGAGGAAATTACTGATTCACTTTCACTCCTCTCAGATTGAACACATATGATCACTGGTTAAATGGTGGCATAATCTAAACCTCTTTTTACCCAGTACTGAATCTCTATTTTATTTTCAACTTTTTGTAGACAGTTTTGCCAGATTGCTGGTGTTATTTTACTCATGGTTTTGTTTACTTTGTTTTGAATGCGGTATTGTTGCAACTTACATCAGATTTTATGATACCCAGATAAGATCTATTGGATTGAGATCGCAATGGTAAGGCAGTTGTGTTACAGTAGTTGGTCGCAATAGACTATCGCTATCTCAATAGTGTGCTGCAATAGACTATCGCTATCTCAATAGTGTGCTGCAATAGACTATCGCAACAGTTGTTTCCCCCCTCAATTGTCACCCTAAGGACTCAACACAACATAAGTACTAGAATCTGTACTTTATTAAGTGGGATAAGTCATGTGCCTATAAGTTTCTAGCGCCTTACAGGTAGCTTGGGTTATTTGGGGTATTAATGTGTCAGCGCTTTGAGCATGCACAAGTGTGTGGAAATAAGTCCTTTATGAATAGTCAATTTATATTATTATTAATGCCAAATATAACATATGTTATGTTTACCGCCTGTCATACTCTTGGTAGTACATTTAAAGGCCACTAAAACAACCAGTTGTGGTTTGGCTGTAGGTTTGGCTTCAAATCTTCTGTCAAAAAGGAATCAGACCCCTTGTCAAGGTGCATGCAGCTGTTAAAAGTTTTGGAAGCTGACATGCCGAAGACTGATTGATTCCTCTCAGTTGACTGTCTGTGTTCAGAAGACGTAGATTTAGAGCCTCACTATCTCGTCTCTTACACTTACTTGGAAATAGACGTCAACAGAAGAAAGGTCCTTACAAGTACTGGATCTAGACAGGCCTTGCATCTACCATATCAAGTCACAACTAGTATGTGGATCTAACGTAGAGAAAGTCCTTTTCTTTGCTGTCTGTGTGTGAAATTAGGTGATTTTCATTTTAATTCCCAGAATGACGGAAACAGGTCAGCGTTTCCACCCAGGGATTGAAGAAAGAAGGAGAAATGCACAGTGTGAGATACATTCAGTTTTAAAAAAAATGAAAATAGGGTAGTGTCAGCTTGATATCTCACCTTTTTGTTGTTGATATCTGCCTGACTTCTGTTGACAACTCCGATGATTCCTAACTTGACTGGGATGACCCGTCCACACAGTACATCCATGGCATCTGTGCCTGCATCCATCAGGTCAAGTTTGGTAATGACTGCCAAAGTTCTTCTTCCTGAAAACACATACACAGCACTAATATTTCATTTTTCCCTCAAAACAAATGCTTTTCATCAAGAAATGTGACTGAAAAAATGAAAATACTTTAACAATGATTCAATCACTAATGTGAAATAGCAACATAAAGTTTTGAAGTACAGTGGAAGCTGTCAAATTCGGCAGCCGTTCAATCTGGCAAGTTGTCAACACCCGGTATAAAATCTCAGTCCTATCCATGGCTGGTACATTTATGATCATTTAAAGGCTCTGCAATCCGGCAGCTGTCAAGTCCAAATCTCAGCATGAAATGAGCCGCCCGAATATGTGTTTATACAGTAATCAGCATTGTCTAATCCAGCGTGTGGCGAGGAGTCGGCCAGATGTGTATTTGTCACTAATTAATCCTGTGTTGAAACTACATGGTTGCCGACAAAGATAATTTAATCTCAATTCAGTATGGGTATACTTGTACATGTAATTAAGGAGTTATTAGACGGAAGGTCTTGTTCTTTATGGATAACGCTCAAAGCCACGCCCACTGAGTGTCACTCAGCAATGTTAAGTTAGTTTTTTGCCTGCAAAGACCACATCCATGTTACAACCTCTTGACGAAGGTATGATTCAGGCATTTAAAGTCAGATACAAATTGTATCTCCTGGTTCAGTTCTAGTCGTAGGTAACCGACTGTACAATCCTGCATGCTGTCTAAACCGCATTATTTCTTCAGTCCAGACGAGTACCGGTTTGGCCAACTTCAACTGTATTATTATCCTAAGGAATGCAGTAAAAAGTGTGGATTTTCTTCAAAGAGTTGCCCCTCAACTGACAAACACCATTATTTCCTCAAAAGAACTCTTTTCCCACAAGACATCGTCTTGCTCCATGGGAAGATATCACTGAAGGTCACTGACTTCCATCTGAGATTGGCGAGTTACTGGGGAAAGACCAATGGTCAGAAGCTGTGGACATTGCTGACATCCTTCACTGCCATGTCACTTCGGCAATGTCTGGCTAAGACTTCCAGAAGCATCCCTGCCTTATGGACTGTACATTATTTTGTAGCGCTATGGTGGATGCGATCGCCAAAATGTCTTGAGTACTATTGGATTATTCAGTCCGGCTATGTTATATGCAAGGAGAATGGTTATTCTTAAACATAATGCAGTGGTGTTCATGCAATGAGTTGGAGATAGGAAGAAACATGAAATTTTTAGAGTAAAATTAATATTTTTATACTTATCCTGACTCATGCTTATTTGCTTGTCTTCTTCTTCTGGCAAACCTAGTGGAACACGTATATCTCCCAATTGAAGTTCCCTTCAATAAAAGAAATCACTCATTAGTACTCACCACGAGTTACCTCCCTTTCCCCAAGCGCGTGAACGATGGCACCACCCAAGCCCATGTGCTCCACTCTCTCCTTTTTTGTTTTGAGCCCAACACTTTATTTTTCTCGAGAAATCCAAAGTGCTAAGTGGGGAGGACGGGAGGGCTTACCTCATGAGTCAGGGTAAGTATAAAAATATTAATTTTACTCTAAAAATTTCATATTTTTTCTTATCCTGACTCATGCTTATTTGCTTGTAGAATCCTACGGGTAGGTGGTGGGATTATATATACTTTGGATTTTACTAATTAGTGATTTGAACTGAGATAATTGTAACAACCCTATGGGAACTTCATGAAGGCACTGAACTGAATTCCTGCTGTATATTAACAGCTGCCTCTTAAGAAGGTTATTACAATTTACTGAATATAATAAAAGTATATAGAACATTAATTAAGCTAAGCTATTAATGTGAAGTATAAACTGTAGATAGTTTATAAGTATACTTTTATAAGAACCAAAGTAATAAGCTTACAATATGTATATATATAAGCTATAACATAATTGTGCTTAAGGCATAAAGATAACTTAAGCTGTATAATAGTAACCAACTACTGAGAGTTTGTTAACTAATACATGTTATGAAATGAACATATGACTGAGCTTAAAGATAGAACTTAAGCTGAACATATATATAATAGTAGAACTCGTAAGAGTTGTAGGTATATGTGTATAATGATATAAAATCATAGTACTGAGCTTAAGATAAAATTTTAACTTAAGCAAATATATATAGATAGCACGTAGCTATTAGTACTGTTATCAGATAAGTATAAAATCATCAAGATAGACTTATCTTCTCCGTGGAACTGTCAACTGTTGAGCGAGGACCATGGGACCGAAATGGTGGATACCTGAGACGTCCTTGGTGGTGATATCTCTCAGATAATGGTTGGCAAACACCATATCGGATCTCCAAAAACATCCCTCCATAATGGTATTTAATGAACAATTTCCATGTAAAGCCAAAGTTGAAGCTAGTGCTCTAATTTCGTGGGGATTAGCAGCACTTGGAGGGTCCAGTCCAGCTGCCTTGTAGGCTCTTAGTATGACAGTTCGGATCCAGATAGAAATAGTAGTGCGCGACACTTCTGTCTGTGAAGCGGTAGATATAGGGATAAACAATCTTTTGAATTTCCCTCTACTTTGCTTGTATCTTTGGAGATATATTTTCAGTGCACGTACTGGGCAAAGTGATAAGTCCATTGTATCATGTGGTCCAAGAATGGATGAGAGAGCTGGGACATGGAACAACCTGTCTGGTTGACCTGGTAGTTGATTTTTCGCAATAAAATCCCATTGAAGTCCCAGATGAGCGATGTTATGAATATCATCAAACCGTGTTCTCTCGTAATCCAAAGCGTGAATTTCAGACATCCTGGCTGCAGTGGCTAACGCTAGCAGGAATAAGGTTTTGTGGGTCAATGATTCAAATGACGCAGATAACAATGGCTCGTAAGCCTCATTTGTGAGGTGTTGAAGTACAACATTCAGATCCCAGGCTGGCTTTGAAACTTCCGCTTCTGGTCTTCCAATCGAAGGCACGTAATAAGGCGAAAGTAACTCTGGTGTTTTAGTCAACTTGACGCCTGTCCTCATAGTAATGACTGAACTTATGGCTGCAAGATAAGTGGATAGTGTAGATCCTTTCAGATTCTTAGTTTGGCGTAGGAAACACAAGAATTCTGCCACTTGAGGATGTGTAGCAAATCTGGCTGAAAATCCTTTCTTAGCAGCATAATTGACAAAACTGCGCCACTTGTCATCGCATGTTACGAAAGTAGAGAGTTACGTAGTGCAAGCTGACTTCAGCCGCTCTGGTGGAATAACCTCTCTTATTCAAACATGCTTTGATACAGTCCACACGTGAAGTTGGTATGCTTCTGGTGTTTTGTGCACTTGTTTGGTGTGCGGATGCATCAGTAGATTGGAGCGCAGTGGGAGCTGAAGTAGTGGTTTTCCGATTCCTAGTATGAGGTCTGGAAACCACGTTCTCGCTGGCCAGTAAGGCGAGACCAAAATCAGATCGAGGCTCTTCGTTTGACTGATTTTTAGCAAGACTTGTGGGATCAACGCAGGAGGCGGGAAAGCGTACGCGTTTAGTCCCTCCCACGATATGCTTAGTGCGTCCATTGCCCAAGCTAGTGGATCTGGCACTGGCGATATGAAAGTTGTCAGTTGTCAGTCGGGTGGCAAATAGGTCTATGAGAGGAGATCCTATTTCCATGATTATCTGATTGAATATCTCTGTGTGGAGCATCCATTCTGTCGGCGACGGTTGGTGCGGCCGAGAGAGAGCGTCTGCTAACACATTTTTTGCTCCTGGAATGTGGCAGGCTTTGATATGAATGTTTAGACTGTCGACTAATTCGAACAGTCTGAAACATCGGGTGAGTAGATTCAGTGATCTTGTTGACCCTTGTTTGTTCACATAAAACGCCACTGTTGAGTTGTCTGTGTGAATCATTAACTGGGCGTTCTGTAACAGGTTGCTCCAGTGACTTATGGCGTTTATGACTGCTTGCATCTCTAGCAGATTTATGTGACATAAGCTCTCTTAAATGCTCCATAGGCCTGACGCTGTCCTGCCGGTAAGGTGGGCTCCCCAGCCTATTAGTGACGCTGGCCACACGAGGTGTATATCCGATTCGCTCTACTAAGGAGACGCCTACGCAGACATTCAATCTCTTGGTCCACCAGAGTAGATATGGTTTGACATAATCTGGTAGACTGAATGGTAGAGGGTCCTCGAGATGAGCAATGATGAGGACTTGTAATGGACGCAATTGAAGCTTGCCTCTGAGTGTCAAGTCTTGAGCTGATGTGAGTAGTCCCAGTAGACTCTGCCACTGTCGTAGTGGTAACGGAGAGAGTAGGGCTTGGGGAATCAGTTGTTGTATTTTGATCCATCTGTCCTCCGGGACTACCAAACGATTCTGGGCTGTAAGGAATCGTATACCTAGAAACTGCAGATCCTGCGTGGGCTCTAGGTCCGACTTGAGTAGATTTACTAACCAGCCTAACTGTGTTAGTAGCTTGATTGTAAATTCCAGCTGTAGTCTGAGACGCTGTGGATCTGGATCCACCTGTATACCGTCGCCTAGGTAAAATGCACTCCGCAGGCCTTTGACGATGTAGGTATGAGACAATAGGCTTGGTTACTCTTGTGAATACCCCAAGGGGCGGGAAGTGATTCGAAGGGAAGTACTTTCCATTGGTAGTGTATGCCGCCTAGCATAAACCTCAGATATTTCCTTGACCTGGGATGAATCGAATGTGTAGGTATGCATCCTGCAGATCTATACTTACCATGTAATCTAGTGGACTAATTAGCTGGACGGAGTTGAGGTAAATGTATCATGCTAAACGCTGGTGGTTTGCATAGAAAATCTCTGTTGAAGGTGCTCATGTTGTAAATGAGGCGATACTTCTCTTTGGAATTCTTTTTCGGCACTAGGAAAACTGGGGAGTAGAAGCCTGGTGTGATGTTTTGCTGCTCGAGAACTTCTAAGGCCTGTTTGTTTAGTAGAGACTGAACTGTTTCTCTTAACATCGGTAGTAGTGCCAGCTGAACGTTGAACCCTGGTGGGTCGACTGTTAACGGTGGCTTGGCCTTGAGTTGTAGATGA